TTTGATTTAAGAAGAAAAAATACCAACTTAACTTAATGAAAAGAAAATATTTGTTACTATCAACATATTCGTAAATTTGGCGGGTTTTATTTCTTAAATATCATTCCGTCCAAATGTTTGCTATCCATTCAGACACACCCGGAAACACTCCCTTGCAGAGTTCCGGAGTGATGTTTATTTCTCGTCGAATGTTGTCTTTAAGCTCCTCCAGTGTTCGTGGATTATTGGAATACACTGACTTTAAACAACCCTGCAAAAAATAATCGCATGGCGTGAGGTCGGGTGACCTAGAAGGCCAGTGCCAAACTTCGATATAGCTTTTTGAGAAAAAAGTGCTTTCACCGTATCCATCGATTCTCTGGAAGTATGGGCAGTGGCCCCATCTTGTTGAAACCATGTGTTTCTGTTAAATCGACGTTCTGTTACAATAGAAGCAAAAAAACTGCCAATTCTGTCCTTGTATCGCTCAGAATTGACCGTTTTCATCTTCAAAGAAATACGGCCCAATAATACCGCTAGAGGATATGGCGCACCAAACAGTCACCTTTGGAGTATGTAGCTATTGGTGATTTTTTTCTTTTGGGTTCGTTGGTGCCCAATATCTGCAATTTTGCTTGTTCGCAAACGTCTAAGTGCAAATGGGCAACGTCACTGCAAACAACGTTCTCGTAGGAAAAAGATTGAACGTCCGTTCAGCACAAGATTTCCGTAGTATTTAATCACTTTCCTTTAAAGCATGAACTGATTGGATGTTATAAGGATGAAAATCCATTTTTTCCTTCATTACGCTATGCAGTGTTGACCTACAGTATATTCAGATAAGAGATAGACCGGATGTAAACAAAAGGTTCGGGTGAATTTCACGCTAACGCCGCCGTCTCGACGTAAATTAGGAGCCCTCATTGGTCAATTCGCAATTAAATGCCTATGCCGAGCGGCAGAGCAGTCGTATCAAGACAGAGTCACATTCAGGTTCAGACGTGTTACGTATGTCGTGTGCATCATTGCAATTTGATATTTCTTTGGACGTTTTCGTTTGTTATCTTATTAAGTTGTTGAGTTTGTCGTTGTTATTGTTATACCTTGTTATTGATTGTTATTGTTATCAACTGCTTGCGCAAAATGCCCAGTAGTACAGATACTGCCGATGAAGTTGTAAACTCCTGTAATCCAAATAGGAAACGCTCTAAAAAAAGACACCCGAGTGCAGAAATAAAAGAGGTCATTTTGAATATATATAAGATCGAGCGCGAGGAGAACGAGGCATCAACCATCAAAGAAATTGTTGTGAAGGTTTCTCACAAAGTGTGTCGCGCATCAGTGTTTAATGTGTTAGACAATACAAAAAAAATCACACCTTTTCTGAGCCAATGACCAGTAAACATCGCAAAAGTATTGTTAAATCATTGGATGAAGCTGATAAGCATGCGATTAGGAGGAAAGTGCATGAATTCTTCTTTAGGAATGAAATACCTACTATAGATAAAGTACTGCAGGAGGTAAATGGAGATACAACGTTGCCAAATTTCAAACGATCAACTTTCCATGCGTTACTGAAGCATTTAAATTTCAAATGGAAAAAACGGGGTCGTAATAGTTTACTACTGGATAGAGAAGAAATTGTGCTATGGAGGAGGGATTATTTAACAAAAATTGGGAAATATAGAAATCAAAACAGGAAGATTTATTACCTTGATGAAACGTGGGTAAACGCAGGACACACTACAAGTAAAGTATGGGTTGATGATTCTGTAACTTCATCCAGGAGGGCCTTTCTAGATGGACTGTCCACCGGATTAAAAAATCCAGCAGGTAAATACGAGTAATAGACAACAATCGGATGTTTTTCAAACCTTGGGAACAAGGTTCTAAACATTAATTCCAGGGGGCAGATAAAACATATTACAAGTAACAAAACTTTTATAACTTTCGATAAAATGCGTGGATGTTTTATTGTCATTTTCATTTGTAGAACTTTTTTAAGCCATGTTTTTATGTGTTTTCGATATTTCAATAATTTTTTAATATAATCTTAAAATATGTCGAATATTATAAACTTAAAAAAAGTTACTAAGTTTTATATTGTGTACCGTTCCTAATATTTCTAATCATTTTAATTCATACTTTAAGCTTTATAAAGTTATAATTTGTTAATATTAATATTTGCGCGTATTTCAGGTTCCTGATCATTCATTTTTTAAAGGTTTATAACTTTAAATTAAATTGTGAAGCGGTGAGTAATCATACGACGTTCAATATTCTTTCTTTCAATATGACTAAATAATCCCAATTATAGGAATCTGATACTCATGTCTCAATGTTTTTTCGCTGAATGTGATGAAAACATTTGAAAAAGGTTCGCTTATTGAAATAAATCTACACCAGTTAGTACTTCGATTTCCAGGTAAAGGGAAAAGGCTCATTATCTGCCATATTGGCAGTGAGGATGGATTTGTTGTTGACGGTCTGTGGTGCTTTGAGTCTAAGAAAACTGGAGATTACCACGAGGAAATGAATGGCGAATCGTTTGAACAGTGGTTTTCAAAAATTTTACCGAACTTAGAGGAAAACGCAGTAATTGTGTTGGATAATGCGCCTTATCATTCTCGAAGAATGGAGAAGGTCCCAACAACGGCTTCAAGGAAAGTTGATGTTCAAAATTGGCTCCGCTCGAAAAATATCAGCTTTGAAGAAGCAATGCTGAAAGTACAATTATTAAGAATTGTCAAGGATCACAAGGCGGAATATCAAAAATACGCCATTGACGAAATGGCAGCAAGTCAAAATAAAACTGTGCTCCGTTTACCTCCATACCATTGCGAGCTCAATCCCATTGAGCTCATATGGGCAGAGGTTAAAAATTATATAGCTAAGCACAATACAACTTTTAAATTTTGTGACCTCAAAGGACTTTTCAAAGAAGCACTAGAATTAATAACAGCGCAAAAATGGGAAAACTGTATTAAGCACGTGAAAGACAAAGTTGAAAAGAGAATGTGGGAACTGGACAATATTTTAGAGGAACAAATCGAGCCATTCACTATTGACGTTGGTGCTTCAGGCAGTAGCGATGATGAAAGCTCATCAAGCTCATCTTTCCAATAAAAGATGTCGTTCATCAAATTCGGTAAGTTATAAGTAATTATAAAGCGACTGTATTTTTTAATTAATTATTGACATTTTTGAACCCATTTTGGCAAAACCTATTCAAGAATCTACTTTCTGACAATGTTCAACCATGCACATTTTTTTACGTTTTGAACGTTTTAATTTGGTTACATATTTACCTAGAAATCAAAAAATATACTAATCAATATTCTAAAAGCAATTTTAAGAGATATACGATTATTTTTAATTTAGGCTAATTTAAACGCCATTTTGAGATTATATTCGACTGTATTTCACCAAACATCAGGCGGCATCCGAAGCTGGAAATCGAAGCGAAAATTTTGAAACCCTTATGTATATTTACATCATTATATATTTCTTACCCCACCCCCACATGATCCTATATCCATCACCAATCGTATACACATCGAATTGTGCTAATTTACTACAAAGTTACGCAAAGCAGCATCTACTATCTAAAATATGTACAGCGTGACTCTTAATACGTCCCTGCCGAATGTTACAGCGTTCGATGATCACGTGGTCTTGTTTATGTCCGGTCTATCTCTTATCTGAATATACTGTAGGGATTCCCAAAGCAGCGGAATGCTTCCGCATAGAACACCGAGGATTTGCAATGACCGAATCACTTACTCGACGTACATTTTCTTCGGTTGATACATTAGGTTTGGAGCCAGGAATGTGCTGACTAAGAGTAGAGCCTGTTTCACGGAACCTCTTAATCCACTTTTTCAATAGGTTCTTACTTGGCTCATCTCTTTTTTTATATACCGAAGCATCCGCGCAGGCAGAAGCCTAAGAGCTAACTCCTCAACTGGACGACTTGCTGCATCGGCCTTGTGTGAGCCCAACCAAATCTCATTATGGGCATTGAAATCATCGAGAAGAACTAACTCTGAAGAAGAGCGGTAACGGCATAAAGTAAATTTCGGTGATGTTTTGGAGTTGAGGCGAGGCCACAGAATGTCCTTCCGGTCTGATTCCAAAGAAACATCTCTAGAACAGGAAATACTGCTGCGGACAAAAGCCACAACTCCCCCGTTCTTCCTCAGATTGGAGTTTACCTCGTAATTTAGGAAGTTAAGATGGTTAATCGGTGTAGACCCTGAGATTTTTGTCACAGCCAAGAAAAGCATGGCGGGACGATTGGATTGCAGGTAGTGATGAACAGCATCAATGTTGCTGTTCATCCCGCAGATGCTCGTCAAACAAATTTTATCTTCGATGTTGTTCCCTCGAGCCCACCCTCCACCCGGACATTCCGAGAGTGGAGTGAGTTTACGTCCGGAATTCTTAGTGCTCGAGGGATCCATCATCATTAATTTATTTGTTTTGGAAGATAACCGACTGCACAGCTTAAGTGTAGAAACATGCGGACATTTATAAGACTCTGGCAAAAGCTAGCGGGTGGTACCGCCTCGGTCGACTGGTCCTTGTCTTTTTGCATGTTGATGATATTAAATAGACCTAAAGTGGCCACCTGGCAATCGGTACTGAGATATTCCTTAACGCGTGTATAATCACTTGAACGGGAAGAAGTTGTATACTGGATACAACAACTTCCGGAACAAGCATTTGCCACGGCCCCGCTCAATAGGATCGGCGGTTACGTATGAATCACCACTCGTAAAGTACTCCTCGATAGCAAAAGCACGTTACGCTCCGGTCCAACGTTCCATATTGTGACTATTTAACCCGCACGCCGAACGCGTCGATCAAGACCTCTTCCCCACTTCCTCCCGTATGCGGTTGCCGTGTAATTCAAATTTGAAATGTAAACTTTCTCACTGGACACCCTGTACTTTCTCGCCAATTAAACATTTTTTGTTAAATTTTGTAACGGTTTAAAATTTGTTATTATGCGTTTCAAGGACTATGGCGATAAGCTCAAAGGAATGGTACACATGTTGCACGATACTTGCGTCGCTAGGAGTGGTGTGGACGACTCAAAAATCGAGGAGATGAAAACAGGGAAATTTGGAAGTGACCCGAAAGCAAAGGTAAAGTAGTAGTCGTTTCAAACAAAACAGCAGACTGAGAAAACTTGTTCAATTGAACAAGATTTATTTGATTGAACGTAGCAAGTCATGCGCTTGTTTTATCAAACTTTCTAATTAGTTTAGATAATTTAGTTTATACACAATTATTAAAAATTTTAGTAAAAACAGTTAAACCGTTAATTCGAATCGAGAATTCGGCTCTTGATTCGTGAATGATCGGGAATACGCGACGGGGCAGCGTCGGTAACGCGCTTCGAACTCCTCAGTTTCATTTGTGATATTCGCGAGGAGCTTCATGTTAGAATGTTGCCGTTTGCCGTTGTTGCTGTATCAGTTGTGAAGCGGATTAATTATGGTGACCAAGTGAAATACTCGAGCATAAGGCGCTTAGTGACTCATACCCATGGTTAAGAATATTTCTCGCTCCCAATGAAACACTTTGTATACAGGGTGACTTTGAAGTTGAGTCATTAACTTTCAGATAATGATTGTAGAAGGAAGATAAACCAAAATATGTGTGTAAAAATAAAAAAGAAATTAAAAAAAAAATTACCTTGTTTTATAAAGTATCCTCCCGACAAGTATTTCAGTGCGGACCTGTATTTGATCGTGAGGTCTTGGAGCACCGGCATGCCGTCCATATGTGAGGTCTTAAGTCAAATGATTCACGAACCCGTTGTACTACATTAACAAAGGCACGAGGGGTTGGTTGCACTCGATTGGGAAACCGATCCGCATAAACATGTGCCATTTTTTATTTCGTTTGAGCCACGCAACAGACACCGCTATCCACTACCGACTGACACTGACTGTATACAGCTGAATGAAATAATTGTAAAAACATCGTTCCAAATTCTTTCGCTTTTTTGTTTCCGATGCGATGAACCGATAAGCGGAATTATATCCGTTGTCGCCAAACACGAGCACATAATATTATTATTGAGACAGGGCGGTACTCAAACTTCCAAAGGGCTATAACTTTGTTACTTTAATTTTACCAGAAAAATGGTAAAGGAAAAAAACATTTCTTTTGATCAGATCTACTCACTGTTAAAATAAATGACTCAACTTCGAAGTCACCCTGTATGGGACATGACTACTATTCGTCATTTGCTTACCCGGGCTGTCCGTAGGAGCTTTGCCCGTTAGTGACTGTCTAATGCACGTTAGTCGAATATGTCAGTCTTGGTTGCCCAGAAACCAGACAGTGCAAGCAAAACAGAAAAGGAAAAAGGGGAAGAGCAAAGAAAAACAGAGGTGAATTAGTTTAAGAGGAAATATCTAGGCTTTTTGACTTGGTACACGGATTAATTTTGAGGTGAACCAAAAACAAATTTTGATTCAGGTTTTGTTAGAGTGTTATTTTGACTTTACTGAAAGTTCGCGCTAATTTTTTATCACAGTGCGAGCCGTGGCCTTGAATGTTTACAAACTTGCTCCACTGTGTAGTCCACTAGGTCACGCAATAGACGGTTGTTGTGCGATTCCGCTTAACTATAAGGCTGCGCCTGAAGCTAGACATAATCTCTTGAGTAAGGAATGTCAAGGTCTCTGTGTATTGTCTCATTTGAGACATACCATGGAGCGCTGCAAATTGGTCGTAGGGTTCTGCTTTGCATGTATGTGTTTCGGCAAGAAAACACCAAGCCACATATGCATAAGTAATAATCATTTTATATAGTTGAACTTTGTTTATCAAATTGAATTTCTAACAAAAGGTACAGTTGCCGAAACGCAATTTGGTATTTTGTTTTAAAGGCTGCTGTATGTTTCCGCGTGGTCATGCCTTTATCAAGGGTAACACCGGGATACTTGGCAGAATTTGTCCATGTTGCACGTTTTCCGACTACCGAAACCTCGGCTGGAGGGCCGCGGCGTTTTTTGTTACAATAAATAGCCTGCGTTTCTATCCGCTCTAGTATTTCCTCCACCGCACCCTAAAATCCAAGTGCAGTGTCGTTAGCGTAAAGATAGACATCACAGTTGCTGGGACAAGGGACATCATGGATAAAAAACTAATAAAAGAGTGGTCCTAGGACCGAGCCCTGAGGAACACCGGCCCGTACTGACTGTGTTGTTGACAAAAGATTGTTCATTCTTACCATCCGGAACTGTCTTCCTTCAAGGAAGGGTTTCAGTAATTTTAGAAGCCCAAAAAGAAAAATCTTATCAAAGGTTTTTACTGAAAGTAAATCCCCTGGTCATGTGTACCTCCAACCTGACTGCCTGTAGATCGGTACTATCCTCGGATGCTGACATGACGGAATGGGAAGAACTTGGAAAATTTATTTATGAATCCATATTTAGGTTGATGATGGGCATTTTGTATCAAGCATGTGCTTAACATAGCCTTGTTGTGCATTTCATTTATATTGTACAGGGTGGTCCATAAGTCCTTTGAAATTTCAAATTTGAATAAAATTCAACGGGCGAGGTTTGGGCAGTATCTTCAGTGTCTGGGAATTCAGTCGCCATGGAGTGTTTCACTGGAGCGGATCGTGCTTTTTGTGTGCGCGCGTTTTATCAAAATAATGATTCGGCAACCATTGCACGGCGTAAATATCGAGAATACCACAATTTACACAATTTTACAAAGTGTCCAATAGCTCAAACGATTAAGAACTGGGTTGCTAAGTTCGAAGAGACTGGTTCGACGTTAGATAAACAGCGGTGGGGTCGACCAAGGACAACTCGTATTGAAGAAAACATCAACATTGTGGCACAGTCTGTTCGTCAAAATCCTACCCAGTCTACTCGTAAGCGTTCCAGTGCACTAAACGTACCCAGAACATCTGTACAGCGGATTTTAAGGAAAGATTTACGTCTACACGCTTACAAAATTCAGTTAGTGCAGGAATTAAAAGATAATGACGCTATTCAGAGACTAAACTTTGCGAATGAAATGTTGAATCGATTTTCTTCGCTCAATAATGTGTTGTTCTCGGACGAGGCTCACTTCCATTTAAACGGGCATGTAAATAAACAAAATTGCCGTTATTGGAGCCCCGAAAATCCAAGGCGTAAGCATCAAAAGCCCTTACACAGCCCTAAAGTTACAGTTTGGGCTGCTATGTCAGCGCATGGCATCGTAGGCCCTTATTTTTTTGAGGACGCCAGAGGTCGCGCATTAACTGTTACTTCGGAGCGGAGGAGACATTTCCTGGCCACCACGTAGTCCAGATTTGACCCCAATGGACTTCTTTTTATGGGGCTACCTCAAGAGTAAAGTGTACGACACCACTCCGCGATCAGTTGAAGTCCTGAAAGAAAATATCCGAAAAGAAATGGCAAGCATTACAGTGTTGACTTGCCGCGCAGTCATCGACAATTTTAGACGTCGTTTATATGAGTGCCGTGATCGTAATGGACTGCATTTAGACGATGTGATTTTTAAAACAATTCCCATTCAATAAAGATGATAACAAAATATAATAATTCTTCATAATGTAACTAGTTTGGTTTTATTCCTTTTTTTCCAGCTCAAAGGACTTATGGGCCACCCTGTATAATGTATATACAGGAAAAACCAGATTTGTCTGGTCATATTGAAATTGAGCCATATTCATAAAACAAAGGATAGCCTTGTACTTGCAAATTTTGAAGGAAATCCTCCAGATGGTATTTATAATAATTTGAAGTAAATGCTTTTGCTTTTTGAGTATAAATATCATTCAAAGCAGTGACATAAGTAAAAGGATATTCATAATCTTCACCTTAGACTTGGCATAGGAAGCATAATAATAAAATCTAATGCAGCAGGTTCGGATGGTATAACAGTCTCAATGCTGAAGCTTTGCTTGCCTCGAGTATTACTACCCATTTGACGCATTTATTGAACTGTTGCCTGGAGGCTGGGTATTTCCCTGATGCTTGGAAACTATCTCTTGTCAAGCCCTTGCCTAAATGTAAAAATCCAAAATGTCTCTCAGACTTAAGACCTATAACTTTGATTCCTGTTATATCGAAGATATTGGAGAAATTGATTAAACATCAGGTTTATCATTATTTCTCTAATAATGATTTCTTTCCCAAGTGTCAATCTGGTTTCCGCAGTGGTTTTAGTACAACTTCAGCTTTAGCAAGGGTTTTAGATGACATCATTGCTTCGCTTGATAAGGGAGATGCTTCAGCACTTGTATCATTAGATTATTCTAAGGCGTTCGATAAAATAGATCATGAGCTTTTATGTGCTAAATTGAAGTTTTTTGGTTTTTCAGACATACCTCTAATGTTTTTTATAACATATCTTTCAAATCGTAAACAAGTAGTAGAGATAGACAACACTATATCTAGTCCGATTGATATAACATCAGGTGTCCCTCAGGGTTCAGTTTTAGGGCCCTTGTTGTACTTAATTTATACTATAGACTTGGGTAGCTCTGTGAAAAACTCTTCTGTGATGTGCTATGCCGATGATACACAGATATATAAGAGCTTTAATAGTAACACTTTGCATACTTCAATCAATGAGCTTGATGATGATTTGGAGGCAATAGTAGGATACTCAAATGGTAACAATCTTAAGCTCAATAAGGATAAGAGCTCAGTGATGCTTTTTTGTCCTGCTGTCAAACGTAACACTATATTGTATTCTCTTGATGTAAAAATTGACAAGGAGCGTCTAGCTGTCGTAAATACTACAAAAAATTTAGGGTTGATTATTGATTATACTTTACGGTTTAAGGAGCATGTTTCGTCTATCTTAAAAAAATGTTATGCAACGTTAAAGTGTTTTTATGTCAATCGCTCTATTTTGAATTTTAAAGTTAGAAAAAAGTTATGTGAGGCTATTATATTTCCAAGCTTATTTTACTGTAGCACTGTGTTCTATCATTGTCTTGATTCTATCACAAAAGCAAGACTCCAAAAACTCCAAAATACTTGTTGTCGATTTGTATTTAATCTCAAGAAGTATGATCATGTTTCCTTAAAGAGATTTCAGCTTGGTTGGATGTGTATTGAAAATGCTTGCAAGTACCATATAGCAGTGTTTACACTTA